GCCTCCAGGTGCCTGTAACCATGTTACAAACTTATCCACTGCAGCAATTCACTTCACAACGGCGGCAAGGCAAGGTCGTAAAACGGGGCAAAATTTGCTGAACCACTGTCTCCCTGAGCGACGGAAATTCTGGGCTCCGTTGCGGTCGTAAGTCGAGGACAACCCGCCGCCTTTGGACTGGCTTGTAAGAGATGGCTTGAGAGAAGGAAGAGAAGAAGGGGGGAAAAAGAAAAAGAAAGAGAGAGAGAGCTGGAAGGCGACAGGCTAGTACGACATGAAGGATATTTTGAAATGTTTCCCGGATCAACAGGAATCGTGTTCTAATCCCAGCTGGAGTCCAGCAAAGCCACAATCTTGGTGGATTTTTGAAAGGATAATTTCTGCCCATATGGTGCGCGTTGCATCCCCCCCCCCGCCCGGATTAGTGTGCCTCTCTAACCTCCTTCTATTTCGGTAGTAAATTAGCACCCTGAAACCTGCAAGGAACATCCATCTGCTCCCTGGAACTCGGGCAGAAGCCCACCCAAGCCTTCCTTGGGTGCAATTGAAGGAAGTAACTTTCCTGTTTTATTTTTAATCTTTATGCTTTGATGGTGCCTTGTAGGTTTTTTTTAAAAGTGCTTCCTTTCAGGAAGGTAGGTAGGGTCTGTCTGTGTGTGTGTCTGTGTGTGTGTGTGTCTGTGTGTGTGTTTGTGTGCTTTGTTTCCATTACAACTGCATCTGGGGAAGAAAAGCTTCAAAGAAAGAAAAGAGAGAGAAAGGAAAGAAAGAAAGAAAAAAAAAGAGAAAGAGAAAGAGAGAGAAAGGAAACAAAGAAAAAAGAGGAGGAAAGAAAGAGAAGGGGAAAGGGAAGAAAGAAAGAGAAAAAGAAAGAAAGAAAGAAAGAAAGAAAGAAAGAGGGGGGAAAGGGAAGAAAGAGAAAGAAAGAAAAGAAATAAAGAGAGAAGGGAAAGAAAAAAGAAAGGGGAGAAAGAGAGAAAAGAAAGAAGGAGAGAGAAATGAAAGAAAGAAAGGAAAGAAAGGGGGAGAGAAATGAAAGAAAGAAAGGAAAGAAAGGGGGAGAGAAAAAAAGAGAAAAGAAAGAGAGAGAGGGAGGAAAGAAAGAAAGGGGGAGAGAGGGAAAGAGAAAAGAGAGAGAGGAGGAAAGAAAGAAAGAGAGATAGGGAAGAAAGAAAGAGAAAAAGAAAGAAAGAAAGAAAGAAAGAAAGAAAGAGGGGGGAAAGGGAAGAAAGAGAAAGAAAGAAAAGAAATAAAGAGAGAAGGGAAAGAAAAAAGAAAGGGGAGAAAGAGAGAAAAGAAAGAAGGAGAGAGAAATGAAAGAAAGAAAGGAAAGAAAGGGGGAGAGAAATGAAAGAAAGAAAGGAAAGAAA